CCCTCTGAACAGACGCACATTAAACACACAAGCCGTCAGCTCGGTGCTGGATACAGGCTGTGATGATTCAGCCGTGTTCTGGTTTCAGTTTCTGTTCACCTGTTCAGGCAGAGACATCTACAGGAAGGTCCAGGGACGAGAGCCGCCCGTCCCCTCCAACATCATCAGCATCGCAGGTTTGCCCATCATCTATCTTTTACTGTGCTAACTTTTACCACAGTGTCAAACGAACCATTATGATCATTTATTTTCGTAGCTCTGATCAGGACAGGCAACGCTCGTATGTACACGGGTATCAATGAGAGCTGAGCTTTGAGAAAACTCATGTTATTGATTGTGACATTTCTTCACTGTCAGGGTTTAGACGTCTTCTTGGGAAATCTTTAGTGAGAACTGAGAGCAATTCAACCATCTCTCTCAAAAACGACTCAACCCCATTAGAAATAAAGTGACAGATATTGGCTTCTGTATCAAGAATAGGCATATTTATAAATAGCTGCTCTCTCACATAATAAGGTAAATGAATCTTAATATTTTTGTGGACTCTACAACCTAATGTTTCCTCTCTGATTCAGAGGACGGGGCTGAGGAGCCTTTGACAAAGAAAGAAGAAGAAGAGCGGAGGATTGCAGAGATGGGCAGGCCAATGCTGGGCGAACACGTCAAACTGGAGGTGATCATCGAGGAGTCATATGAGTTCAAGGTAGGAGATGTTTCTCTTGGGTTAGTGTGAAATATGTAAGCCCCTTTCAGACGAAACTGTTCTGAGGAGCTCTGATGGCCACTATGCATCAGAGAGCACCAAGAGATCAACCAGGACTTTGTTGTTTGTACCACCAACAAAACAACAAAATCCTCAAATGTTCAGCGCTAACTGTTTTTAACATAACTAATTGAAAGAGAGTACCATGCCCCCGAAAACTGAATTCTAAGGACTTTCCCACATAGTTCCTGCAATGTGGGCACACATAAAAAAGGAGACTTCCTCTAACAGTGATTAGAAAAAGGTCCTTTAGTCTGAACTAGCCTGACGAGTCGGATCTAAAGGACACTCCAAAACTCTCTCATAGATTAATGGATAGTTCAGAAATCCACCTGCCAACATCAAGGAAGTCCAATCCCTACACTGTCTTTACATTTTATACATCGCTCCTACCACATAGCATGTTGGACTGTGACCTGAAAGACTAGTATGTTGACTTTGTTCCCTTTGAATCGAGTCGAGCCGATGGCTTTACCTTCAGAGTTACTGAACGGACATTTAGTTGCATCATTAAACCAGGAGGAACGTGAATAGCTGGAGCATCTGGCATTTCTAGCCTTTTATGTGGGATTTTCATCAGTATGTCCTACATAAATGGCTAAATGGTCAAATGCATATAAGAGATTTTCTATGAAACCTAATGGCCTCTGGTTTGTGAAGCTATACTTGTTAAGCTTAAGGTTCTGCACCCTGATCCGACACTGTTCACCTGCAGCATTGCAGCTAGTGGTGAGTCAGCAAAACGAAGGCTTCTTGATGTCTGCTTGAAGCGTCTTTAGGCCCTTAAAGGCAGAATATGATGCCTTGACCGCTGAACAGTGGAGAAACATTCAGAGCTGGAGTTTTATGTAAGATGCAGATGTTCACCACATTCAGACTGGTCTATAAACAGTCCTGAAAGAGTCTGTAATAGAAAGGCACAAGTCGGACTGAGCCTGAAATGATCACGATGGGTCCTGCTTCCTGCTCGCTCTTCCCTTGCATCACAGAAACTGAAGAATTTCCGATAGTGAGAGAACATCTGAAGCAGGCTTTCATCAGCTATCTTCTACACGTCAGGCAAGACGACTGTTTCAGACTGAACTTCAGATACTGTCATCGTCTGAAATGAACGCTGAGAATTCAGCATCAGAAAAGCTAAAGTTAGGTGGCTGATTTTCAAAATGGTCAGCAGGGCAGTGAAGGTGACATTAGATGTTTCCTGGATGTGTTTCAGAGTACAGTAGATAAACTCATTAAGAAGACCAACCTGGCTCTGCTGATTGGGACCAACAGCTGGAGGGAGCAGTTTGTGGAGGCCATCACGGTCAGCTCAGGTATGAACTAACTCTAACTGTCCTTCTTCAGGTATGAAAACCAACATTAATATAAGCCCTGATTAAGGGCTATCAGTCTGTACCCAAACCAAGCTTGAAAACTGATTCCTGGCTCTGCTCTCCTCAGGCGATGATGATGAATGTGGAGAGGAGAAGCTGCCCTCTTGTTTTGACTACGTCATGCACTTCCTCACCATCTTTTGGAAGCTTCTGTTCGCCTTCGTTCCTCCTACAGACTACTGGAATGGTTGGGCCTGTTTTGTTGTCTCCATCACTGTCATAGGCATGTTGACGGCAGTGATCGGAGACCTGGCGTCGCATTTCGGCTGCACCGTGGGCCTCAAAGACTCAGTCACCGCTGTGGTGTTCGTCGCTTTGGGCACTTCTGTACCAGGTCTAACACAAACATCTCGTTTTCTTTACTA